TGATGATACTTTATATGGCATCAGATGGTTTTAACCACATATCAGGAATCGCTTGTGCCAATTCAGCTTATGAAGCGCTGTCAATTCTTTCATCTCAGCGTCTTTGCTTATCTTCTTGTCACATTGCCAGCTGCCCCTTCCAAGGGGCAATGCAGAAATCATTTGATTAATCTCTTTGCTCACTACCTTTTTATCTCAAACCATCCTTTAAATAATTATTGAAATTTTTCTTTTTTGTTTGTTTGAAATGCAGAGCAAGAGTGAGAGAAAGAGTATCTTCCACCAGCTGGGTCACTCTACAAATGCCAGAGCCCGGCCAAGCTGCAGGCCAGAACCTGGTAGTGAGGCCAGTCTACCACACTGATGGCAACATCCCAAGTACTTCAGTCATCAACTGTTGCTGCCTTCCAGGGTGTGAACCAGCAGGAATGCTAGATCTGAAGTGAGATAGGTTCCAGACATTCTAATCAGGAATGCTGGCATTCCAAGTGGCATCTTAAATGTCAATGCCTGCCCCTATAAATTCTTATCTCATTTTAAAAAGAATTTATAGGGGCAGGCATTGACATTTAAGATACCACAAATAAAATGCCTGTCTCATTTTATTTGTATCAAAAATCAGACATATAGAGGGGGGAGAAACAGAGCAAGATCTGTCCGCTGATTCACTCCCCAAGTGGCCACAATGGCCAGACCTGAGCCAATCTGAAGCCAGAAGCTTGGAGCCTCTTCTGGGTCTCCCATGTGGGAACCTGGTTTCAAGGCTTTGGGCTGTCCTCAACTGCTTTCCTAGGCCACATGCAGGGAGCTGGATGGGAAGTGGAGCTGCCAGGATTAGAACCAGTGCCCATATGGGATCCTGGTGCAGTCAAGGCAAGGACTTTAGCCATTGGCCACCGTACCAGTCCCAAAACCTTGACTGTGGATCAGCCTCCCCTCTTCCACATGTGTTCCTTCTTTGCTGCCCTGTACACAGTCATGAACCCTCCCGAACCTTCTGCATGCTAACAATCACTTTGTGAGAGTTAGCTCTTCTGTCCTAAGTACTCATGTGGCTGTTTGGTATGTTCTCCTAATAGCACTTATTCTAATAGCCATCGGTACTAAGTGGTACTTTATTGATATTAAGATATATTTTCTTTCCATTTTAGCATTTCTAGAATTGGAATGTGACCTGCAATGAATGGCATCTTACAATACTATCACCAGAAGGCAGTTGTGAGGTGGTTATACCTGGTGGCATGACTGGGCAATTCCAAACTCTTGAGTTTTCAGTCAACTATTTGAATTCATTTTTTTCCAAAGATTTATTTTATTTTTATTGCAAAGTCAGACACACAGAGAAGAGAGACCGAGAGGAAGATCTTCCATCTGATGATTCACTCCCCGAGTGACTGCAATGGCCAGTGCTGTGCCGATCTGAAGCCAGGAGTCAGGAACTTCTTCCAGGTCTCCTACGTGGGTGCAGGGTCCCAAGGCTTTGGGCCATCCTTGATCGCTTTCCCAGGTCACAAGCAGGGAGCTGGATGGGAAGAAGGGCTGCTGAGATTCAAAGCGGCACCCATATGGGATCCTGGCACATTCAAGGTGAGGACTTTAGCTGCTATGCCACCATGCCAGGCTCATTTGAATTCTTTTTTTTTTAAAGATTTATTTTTATTATTTTTTTTATTGGAAAGGCAGATATACAGAGAGGAGAGACAGAGAGGAAGATCTTCCGTCCGATGATTCACTCCCCAAGTGAGCGCAATGGCCGATACTATGCCGATCTGAAGCCAAGAGCCTCTTCCGGGTCTCCCACGTGGGCGCAGGGTCCTTTGGGCTTTGGGCTGTCCTCGACTACTTTCTTACCCGGGCCACAGGCAGGGAGCTGGAAGGGAAGCGGGGCAGCCGGTTTGAATTCTTGATTATGGTATTAACACCTTTCATTGACAGCTTCTACCTGTATCAAGAAAGGACCAGCATCAAAACTCACAGAATAGATGCCAACTGTTAGGAAAAACTTACCAAAGACAACAGTTGGAGTATTCTTTTTAAAAATGTTGCATCACTGATGTTCCTGTTGACAGTATTTAGTATAGTGTGGAGAAGTTCTAAGTGATTAAAAACATTATGTCAGAATTAGTAACATTTCCCCTCCTGGTTGGTCCAAAAACAGTGGTGTCTTCAGTAATTTATTGTGTCCCCAAACTGATGTTACTGCAGATTTTCAAAGCATCATGCCTAGAGGTTTGCAGAGATCAGGATACTGCCTTCCTGTGTCTTTAAATGTATCTTTTCAGGGTATTACAAATGCCCTGAAGGCCTACCATAACGCTCATCTCATACGTGTACTTCACATTAGTTGAAAGGATGGCTGCAACTTTCATGGGATTTTGCTAGAATAAATATTCTACTTTTGATTCTAATTCTCAATCTGAGTATGCCCATTTTCAGGGTGGATCTCGAATTGTCTGAAATCTCATCTATCTCTGTGATATGCTGTTCATTGCAAAGAGTTAATTTCTTCTTAATAATAGCCCTCCTAGGATTTCTTTTCTGAGGACTGATATAATCCTGATATGACAAAAACTAAATTTCCTTGTACATGTATTGCTTGATTACATTGGGTAGATGTTACTTTTTATATTTACTGTTTTGACAGGTTTTTTATGTTCTCAACAGTGCCTATCATGATCTCAAAGGAGCAAGGAGAGCAGACAGCTGAGGAAATGGCAAGACAGCCTTACGTTACCTGTGGTTACACATGAGAAACATGGGGTTCATCTGGTTAGTTAGTTCAGGTGGCACATCTCAATTCCATACGCCAAGTCACTGGCACATAATTATTTTTAAACCATGTTACCCTCATGAACAGCTTTAAAGTAATTTAAAAGTAACTCTGGTTGGTTCCTACAAATGAATCTTATTCATCAGTTTTTGTTAGAAGTACACCATTTTAACACTTTAGGCTGTTATTTAAGTCAGAGTCACCATTCTTCATTTCTATGTAATTTATTTATTCTCTTTTGACTTTAAGCATGAGCATTTGGACAGCACCCTTTAAAAATAGAATCAAAGGGCCCAATGCAGTAGCCTAGTGCCTAAATCCTTACCTTGCATGCGCTGGGATCCCATATGGGCGCCAGTTCATTTCCTAGGTGTTCCACTTCTGATATGGCTTCCTGCTTGTGGCCTGGGAAAGCAGTCGAGGAAAGGCTAAAACCTTGGGACCCTGCACCCATGTGGTAGACTTGGAGGAAGCTCCTGGCTTCTGATTGGCTCAGCTCCTGCTAGTGAAACCACTTCGGGAGTGAACCAGCAGATGGAAGAGCTTTCTATTTGTGTCTCCTTTCTGTAAATCTGCCTTTCCAATAAAAATAAATCTTAAAAAAAAAAAAAAAAAACAGAATCAAAGAGAGGTTTTCTTGCACATCTCTGTGATCAATGCACTCCCTCCCCCAAATCCTTCCTAATCTCCTAGACCGCAGCGGCACAGGGTCTAGCGCACATCCAATTCGCTTCCCTCTAGGATTGCAAGAGCTCACTGATTGTCAAGTGTGACAAAATGGCTGACTTGCATTTAGGGACCATGTTTTAGAAAAATAAGCCTGAATACAACCAACATCTTTCTAGCATTGTAGATAGAAGTTGCGTCAAGAGGTCCCAAGTTCTCCAAGCCTCACTCATCGGAGGTTGGGGATGGGAGGATGAAGGGGGGCAGGGGGAAAGGCTGAAGGTTACTGAGAACACCAGCAAACTCTAGCAGTATTTATTTATTTTTAACCAAACAGAATATCAGAATTCAAGCAATTTAGACAAACATGATACAAATTCACTATTAAATATACACATTAGTCATGCTTACAGATTTTTTTTTTTAAACTTGCAGAATTACTCTAATTCATTTGAGATGAAGAAAGGGAGTAAGGATACTGCATATGGGATCTGGGCGTGGGGTGGTGTGTGTGGCAGTTCCCAAGGCCTGCGTTTAAATTGCTGAGCCGAACACCCATCCTTAGTTTAGAGCTTTTTAAAAACACAAGTAACCGAAGTATGTGGAAAGTATATACCAATAGCGCATACCCTCCCCTACACGAAGCATGTACACCACAGTTAAGACTTACCTGAGGAGGTTCACCAGGTGTCCAGGCCTATTTAACTCTACTGAAATCACTCTTTGCTGGGGATGCACATTTGGTAAACGACTTTTCTAGAGCTCTGCAGGCGATGCTAATGTACACTCCTAGTCAATAACCATTGGGTCTTTTTTTTTTTTTTCCTCTTATATTTGAAAAGCAGAGTTAGAGGGAGATGGAAAGAGGGGTCTTCGAGGCCAAGTGTTGTGGCACAGTCAGTTAAGCCACCATTTGCTACACCAGCATCCCATACAGGTGCCAATTTGAGACCTGGCTGGTCGACTTCCAATGCAGCTCCCTGCAAATGTTCCCGGGATATCAATGATAATGGTCCAAGTCCTTGGATCCCTACACCCAGAAAAAGCTCCTGGCTTTAGCCTGGTCTGGTTCCAGCTGTTATGGCCATTTGAGGAGTCAATTAGAGATGGAAGACAGCCCTAGCTTTTCTCTTCAACTACCTTTCAACTAAACAACAAAAATATTTCAAAGAGAGATCTTGCATATTTGCTTGTTAACTTCCCAAATGGCCACAGTGACGGGGCAGGGCCAGGCAGAAGGCAGGAGCCAGGAGTTTCAGTTGGGCCTCTCACATGGGCTACAGGGGTCCAAGCACTTGAATAGTCTTCTGCTGCCTTCCAGGCACATTATTAGGGAACTGGATAGGCTAGATTCAAACCAGCACCCGAATGTTAGTTTTGCAGGCAGCGGCCCAAATTGCTGCACCACGATGCTGGTCCCAGGCCTCTAGCAACCAATAACTAAATTGTTTAGCAGAGAAACTAAGAATTAACCTGGCCTATTTCACAATTTTGTCTAGGGGCTGCTTATCAATGTTTCCTGGTTTCTGACTGCTGTTTGTTGTTTCTTTTTCTTCTGCCCCAGGGCATCGTCTTCCAAGACTTCTGGACTCTGGAATTGGAAACCTGACCTTTGATCTCTGGCAGGGTCCTAGTTCCGGTTATAGGCTCCAGGGTAGTGCACTGCGCTTGGCTGACCAGATCTCTGCATCTAACCCTGTCTCTTACACCTGCACTTAGCACCCTGGTATGACAACCTACTGACCTCAACCAGTCAGAAAAGAGGAACTCAGGGCAGCTTTATTGATAAATGCCTTCAGATAACTCTAAGCTCTTCAGGACTGCATGCTTATCTCCAAAAGATGTCTGATTTCCTTCAAACACTGCTTTGTACTTGGCACTCCCGCCCCATTCCCTCAAATTAAAATTCTCCAATTTCTAGGGGCCCTCCCCTCCCAAAAAATCCTTAGCTTGGTATAAAGTTTCTCTACCCATTAGATGGGACCTGCCTGTCACGTACCTGGTGCGCTGCCTAGGTGAAACTCACTGTCCTTTTAAGCACTCATCAATGCTGCCTAACTTCCTGTCTTCACATTTTGAATGTTGGGATGGACTTCATTATTACTGGCAGCTCCCCCTGCCCTCCGCCATTTAAATTCTGCCTGTTCTTTAAACCAGTGTCCCTCAAACCTGAGTAATAGATTCCTATCAGAAATTCTTAATGAGTATAGAAAATATGGTTTTTCACACAGGCAGGGCTCCATAGACCAGTTTGAAAAGCACTAATACAGAAAACTAAAGAGCAAGTCTAATTACGTAAATGACCACTCTAAAAATTTAATCTTTATGGCTGGTTAAAATAATGTGCATTTTGCACTAGAACAAATGATTTTCTTCACATCTACGATTTCAGTTTGAGGAATCAAATGGTACAATTTAAGTGCACTGAGCTTGAACAGCGTTCTTCATCACTCCAAGTGGGTAAGTTTCTTCCTTTCCTGAATTGTTTAGTATCTAATCACTCCTTACCTATAAGCAGCTAATAATACATATGAAATGTCCTAGAAAACCATAAGCTCTCTGAAGGTAGTGGCCATATTTTATTTCTAGCTGCAAGATCTGTGCCCTTAGTTTTTAGCCTAATCTCTTAAAAGTATTCTATCTACCCTAGTCCACACCTACAGAAACAGCACCATAAACCAACACAAAAAAGTCCGAGATTGTCACAAATACCAGAAAGTTCTCAAAGTCAGATTTTTAAACAATGCCGTAAAGTGTATGTCTTCTGTATTTCTCTAAATGATCAGCGAGACAATTCTGATTTCAAGATTACAGAATAAAATCTGTAAAGGAAAGGCTAGCGGGAGACGCCCTAAAAATAGCTAGTCCTACAAAGGCTGTGTGTCTCTAAATGGTACTTCAGGCAATGTCTTCATTTCTCCAAAGAGTTTGAGGAAGCTGTTTTTCCTGGACTTGTAGGAGCGGATTCAGGGGCTTGCCCGAGAACGCTGCTTCTGACACAGTATTTCAAACTACCGGAGAAGCAGCTTATACGGTTAAGGAAAAGCATCGGGAAGGATCCTGGAACCCGGTCACCGTGATCTGGGCAAGTGAGAATTTTCACTTTAAAATGCGGGCAAGGTTTAACGATTTGCTCAAGTCCCTTTCAACTATTTAAAACTGACCCTAAATAAACAGCGTAGAACAAGGTCTTTGGGTAAGAGCAGTTAGTTACGTCGGCTGAGAAAAAGAATGGGAGCAAACCATTTTTATGGCTAAACTCGAGTCTTCCTACGCCGTCTTAGGGTTTGATCCCTTTCGGGTGGCTCTTCCGACGACAGGGTTCCAGTTGTGACTGCGAGTGCAGCTCCCGTCTTTGGGCCGCCGCCCCATTCCAAACCTCGCAACCCCGGCCGAACAAGATCGGGGCGAAGCCAGGCACTCCTGCCCACTGCCCAGCGGTCGCGGAGTGACCAGTCGCCCAGATCAGTCCCCGGTCATAAACAAGCTGTCACTTCCTCTCGCCGGCCCCGGAACCTCCTCCCGCCGCCACCCACAGGTCCCGCGCCTTCCTCAGGAGGGCGGCCGAGGACCTGCCCCGGGTCCCTCCACGGAGTGTTTGGTCACTCCACTCAGCCCTCCTCGGTCGTTCATGCTACAGCGACCGAGGAGGTGGCGGGGAGGGGGGGGTGAAGCTAAGGACAGTCTCCATTTCATTTCCTCCGACCCCGGTCACCTCCAGCAGCCAAGAAGAGGTTTCTGGCCCTGCCGCGCAGGCTCACAGCGGCGGCCGCCTGCGCGCGACGACGCAGGCCCCGCCCCCCGCAGCTCGCGGGTCTTCCGCGGCCGGCCCCGCCCCTTCCCGGAGCCCGCCTCCGCGTCGGCGCGTCCCTCGCGCGCGCGCACCCGACGCCCCGCCTCCGCGCATGCTCAGGAACCACTCCCAGAGCCGGCCCCCAAGCAGCCCCCGCCCCCGACCTGTTTGAATATGCTAATAGGAACCCCGGGAAGAGCCAATGGAACTGCGGGGCGGTGCGTCACGTGGCTCGGGGACGTGTCAGGGGGCGGAGCCTCCGCAGCCCCTGCCCGAGTTAAAACCGGAGTGTGAGAGAGAAAAGCGCTTCAGTAGCGAGAGGGGCTGAGAAAGTGGTGACACCGCCGGGGTGCGGAGGGAGTCCCTGAAACTTCTCCCAACAGCCCCAGGGCCCATCTCCCCTCAGCCCACTCCCCTCGTCGCCAGCCTCCCAGGTCCCCACTCCCTGCACCGGGGGTGGGGTGGGGAGCCGGGCCCGTCTCCCGCTGGGACACACACAGGGGCCGGGAGCGGGGACGGGACCCCCGAGGCGGGGGGGACGGACCGACAGACACAGACGGCCGGGCGTCCGCCTCAGCGGGCAGGCGGGCAGGAGGAGGCGGAGGCAGGGGTACGACGGGGCGGACTGGGTCTGGGGAGTTTCCTCTCAACTATCGGGGGAGAAACTCCCCGCAGCCGGAGGAAAGACCCAGGCGGTGTTTTCCTCCCGGGGGCCGCGCTCCCCCGCCCCGCGTAGCGGCGGCCACTGCCACCGCCGCCGGCGCCTCCACCTCTGCCATCTCCTCTTTCTCCACCACCTCGGGCCCCGGTGTCCCCGGCCAGCACTATGCCCATCTTACTGTTCCTGATAGACACGTCTGCCTCTATGAACCAGCGCAGCCATCTGGGCACCACCTACCTGGACACGGCCAAAGGCGCGGTAGAGACCTTCATGAAGGTACCGACTGACCGAGCCCGGGCGGCGACCCCGGCCCGGCGGCCCGCGGGGGGCGGCAGGGTGGAGGGCGGCCGGCCGGGGGGCTGCGGGCCGGGAGGGGGTGTCGGGGACCCGCCTGCGGGAGCCGCCGGGCTCCGGGCCCCCTCCCCCACCGCGCGGGCGGGCGGGCGCTGCGAGCCGGGCTCGGCCCGGGCCCGGGCTCCTTCCCGGGCGGTGGACGGGGGAGCGATCGGGGCGTGTGTGTGTGTGTGTGTGTGTGTGTGTGGGGTGTGGGGCGGGGGGCGGCCGCTGCGTGTGCGGTACTGTGCGGAGGGGGTGGGGGCGGCGGGGCCGCTGGGCGCCCCCTTCTCCGCCCGGTCACCTCGCCTGTGTGTGCTTCCCTCTCGCCCGGCCCGCAGCTCCGTGCCCGGGACCCTGCCAGCCGAGGAGACAGGTATATGCTGGTCACTTTCGAAGAGCCGCCCTATGCTATCAAGGTAACAGCCCTCGCCCTCCCCCTTCCCTTCCTTCCCTTCCCTGTTCCTTCCTCGCTCGCCCTCCCCGCCCCCCCATTCACCCTTCATTATGCTCCCCTCCCCCACCCGCGGCGCTCCCGGCACCCAGGGCCCTTCCCCGGCCGCCTCGCACCCCCTCCCTGCTCGGGAGCGTCCAGGCGCGGCGCGGACTGGCCGGGGCCGCCGCCGTCCCCTCCCCGGCCGGGCCCGGCCCCACGGCGGCGGCGGCGGCGCTGCGATCAACATGGCCGACATTTCCCCTCCGCGGCGTGAGCGGCAGCAATGAACTGTGGGGGATATTTATTCAAGTTAGCCCGAGTGACAGCCGGGCCCGGCCGCGCCGAGCCCGGGGTTTGCATTAAAGGCGAATCGGCGTGCCTGCCTGCCTGCCAGCGTGCAAGCTGCTGGGGGGCTGCTCGGGGGCTGCTCGCATTCGCCCCAAGAGGGCCGCGGGGGCTGCTGCAGGTTCGCTTCCCAAGTCCTGCTCGGGGCTGCCTGCCTGCCTGTAAGATGTGGGCGTCCGCGAATTTTGAGGATTAGGTTAGATGGTGAATTTCCCAGGGAAGTTCTCAAAGTCTGAAGGCTGTTAGCTACCCAAAGCTGTATAAGCAAGCAGGGTTTTTTTCCTGGCCACCTTTGGGAGAGTTTGCTCGGTAGCGTTACAGTATTAACACGTTAAGCCACCCGTGTTAACCCGAAGTGAAGCAGGTACTAGGCGAACATCAGGCTGTAATGCTGGCCATGTGTTTTTAGCCTTACAGGAAGGAAAAAAAAAATCTTACGTTTTTCTTTTCAGGCCGGATGGAAAGAAAACCATGCAACGTTTATGAATGAACTGAAAAACCTTCAAGCTGAAGGACTTACGACTCTTGGCCAATCCCTAAGGACAGCTTTTGATTTATTAAATTTAAATAGATTAGTAACTGGCATAGACAACTATGGGCAGGTAGGTTGAATATTAAGATGGAAAAAGAATTGATTTTTCTTTTTATGAAAAGCAAAAAAAAAAAAAAAAACCACACACACCAAAAGCCCATTCCCAAACTGTTTTAACATGAAGTGCAAGTGCAGCAAAGCATTTCAGAGGAAAATACAGTATGCACATAGTACAAAGGTGAAACTTCACCATGGGTGATGTATACATCCTTCTTTTTCCTTGAAAAGAATTTGTACTCAGAGATACAATCTGAATTCTTTCCTGTAGTTTATGTGCTTTTGCTTTCAATTCCATGAAAGTTTCTGCATACAAAGGGAAGCATCCCACGTCCCCACGTACTCTGAGCCTCCTGCAAGGGCAGGTGCACAGCTTCAGCAGTGGCTTACAGCCTCTAGTTGGTCAGTTGCCTGTGATAGAGGACAGGGTTCTGTTTGTTGCCTCAGGATTTCCCCCAGAGTCCCTGTTCTGGCAGTGTGAGTGTTCTACAAGCAAGGTAGTTAGGAAAACTTAACTGCTCACGTTGTTTTCTCCTGATCAGCAATTATTGGAGAGCTTCTGGATTAAATGACAGGTCCACAGTCCAGAGTTTTTTTTTAAGTTTTTTAAAGTAATTAAAATCTCCATGGAGGGGGAAGCTGGCTGGAAAGTACAAAAGAACTCCTTCCTTAAACCCTTCAGGAACTTGTATGGCAGTGCACCTGTGTCTGAGTGTGAGAGAAGCTAAATCACAATGATGGTTCACTAAGAAATATTGTACAGTGATCCATCATGACTGTGGCTGTTTTCCTTGAAGTAAAAGATGAACAGTGTGTAATGTTATGCAGAACCACAGAATATTGTCCACAGAGTTCAAGTCTTCCACGGCAGTACAAAGCACTCATAGAGTGGTAGACTTAGGGCTTTGTCCTGTTCCTCGCCCAAGTTCCCTAGTACACCATCTGCATGAGTTTTGCACATTTCTGGGAAATGATTCCTATGACTCCAACTTCACTGCTTTACATAGAAGGCAATAGGGAAGAGCCCCTCAGCATCTCGGAATGGTTGGTTTTAGTCCCAAAGCATTTACAGTGTACACTGCTGTTTAGAATCAATACTTTGTTTATTTGTTTGTTTTTTGCTGCTTTGGTTTTTCTCCATGTTGGTCTCTTTTGAGCACTTCATAACTTAGACCTGAACTAAGGTTGCCATGAACTTTGGGTTTGTTTCTGTGAAATGTTTTCTTTCCCTTTCGTTTTCCTTTGTTGTATTTAAGCTATGTGGTCTTTCATTGCTAATCTAAACTTCTTTGAGTTCAAAGACCCATTCAACACTACCCATTATTTGGTTACCTTATTTGGTTGTTGGTGTGTAGTCGAACTAATTCCTCTTGTTCTGCATTGTGTTTCCAGTTGGAAAAACATTTGGACATATTTGCCTTAATCTGTTAGAGATTTTTTTCTCCTATATGTACCCTGTGGCTTTGATCCACGTTTTAAGTTCAGTGAGCATTTTTTTTTTTAAGATTTATTTTACTTAAAAGAGTTATACACAGAGAGATCTTCCATCTTGTTCACTCCCCAAGTGGCCACAATACCCAGAGCCGCATTGATGGGAAACTAGGTTCCAACAGCTTCTTCCAGGTCTCCAAAAGGCGAGAAGGGTCTGCAGGCTCTGTGCTGTCCTCCACTGCTTTCCCAGTCCACAAGAAGCTAGCAGGATCAGAGGCAGAGCACGTGGAACATGAACTGGGCCCATATGGGATCCTGGCAGTGCAGGTGGAGGATTCGCTTGCTATGCCACACTGCCGACTCCACAGTAGTTTTTAGGATATATCTTTAGAAAACTAACAGGAAGCCTGAGGACATTTGTAACTTGAACCTTTGTTTTGCTATTTCAGTTGCCGTGTTTCACCGAGAACACTATAGTTTTTGTTTTACAAGGCTTATAAAAACTTTGAAGTTTCAGATCACCCTTTGATGCTGTTCTTATCTTTGACCAAGAGAAGAGATTGGGACATTTTTACATTTTAGGTTTATTAAGTTAGCAGGGAGGGGGAATGCTCGTTATTTTGATGAATACAAGGAGGAATATTGGCGCTTATGTCCTGAGTCGCCACATAAGAATGATACTAACATTAATGTGATTGAAAAAGGCTGAATTTCTGAAAAAATTGTTTTTGATTAGAAGAAAATGTATCTTTCTAGAAGATTTTTCCCATCGTGTTTTGTAATGTTTGTTTAAATATCTCACATTTTCTATTCATGAAAAGGGGCAAATGATCAGAAATTCAGCATGCGTGAAGTAATATGTACAGATTCGTGTGTTCCTTGTAAAAACACTATGTATCCATCTGTCTGCTATGGAATACTTTTGTTCTAGTACCTCAGTGTTTTACATAAGTATTTCCCTTTTTGTATTATATACTAAAATCTGTGGAGCCTGCACTACCAAATACTTGTATATAATCTGAATAGTTGAAGGAAATACAAAAAAAGGTGAGTTAGATGGAAGACAGCCTATGTATTTTATAGAGCATCTAAAAAACTTCAAAAAAAAAATCTAAATATAGTTTGATGTGTGTACACTTAAAATTTTGCATATTTACAGCCCCACCTGTGCACATAGGTGATTTTCCTTAATCTCACAAAATTACAAGCATATTCATGTAATTTAGTAGCTTACTTGCACATACATTTTTGAGGTTAGCTACAGTATCAGAATTTGTAGGGCATCAATAAGGAAAAGTAGCTAAGAAAGAAACATGATTTTTGGTAAATGTTTTCCTCAAGCATTTTGGGTATCTCACTAAAGAAAATTTGTCCCTGCAGAAGTATTACAAATATTTAGTTTTGATCCTCAGTACCATTTGCTGACCTTTCTGCAGTTATGGAGCAATGTGTACATAGCTTCCAGTGGCTCTTTTCCCTCACAGTAGTATCTTATTAAGATGGTTGTCAATGGAGATAAATTTGATATTTTTCACATGTTCAACAGTTTGAACTAATGCAAATCATTTGGGAATTAATCAAAATTCTGAACAAACCACATGAGTAATTAGTAAACGTATGAAGCTTTACGGGTTCTATTAAAGTTTTGTGAGTACGATGAGTACAATTTTCATGATGCAAATTGTTCTGTTTCCCCTCAGTGGTTTTTTGGTTTGTTTTGTTTTTTGAAGAGTTAGGTTCCCTCTTGAATTAGCTGCTAAATCTTGCTGTGGTATTTGCCATTTTTGTCACTGGCCTGACCGTACCCCTCCCTAGTCAGGAGACTAGCCAGGGGTCGCTGATTTCAGGACTTAAGATAATACCTGACGGTGACCTCAGTGAATTAATCCATGACCAGTAACCTAATGAAAATAAAATGTGGTTAAGTTCTTGAGGATTTTTTTTTTACCAGAAAATGGTTGCTTTTAGATGAAGTAACAAACTTCATATTTCAACATAAAGGTATCTTTGTTAATTGAATAAATATTCTAGGTAGAGTTCTGATACTACTGCTTTCCCCCTAATTTGCCCAGCATTTCTCCCTCAGAACCAACATGGTACAAAGTGCAGGCTTCTCTTTCAATGTTGACAGGTGAAGTAGTGAAAACCTGATTTGTATTTTGATTTCCTTTCCCTACAGCTCTCAGTTGCTTGGTATTTATTAAACAGTAGTTATCGTTTCAAAAGAAAATAGATTACTTACCCTGGATATACTATGTCAGTATGAATTGGAAACATTGATGAATAACATTTAAGACCCTTAATTTAAAAAGACAACTATAAAACACATGACAAAATGTGTTATCTTAACCATTTTCATGTATATGGGCCAGCTGAATTAAGTGTGAGCGTTTTTCAGAAAGTTCATGGAAAAGCTTATTATGAAAAACTACATGGATTTTGATTTTTTGCAGCAAAAATAAAGATTTAATATCACATTCCCGCACTTTTTAAAGCACCCTTGTAGTTACATTATTGTGCAAACAGTATCCAGATTATTTTCATTTTGCAAAATTGCAACTCTACATTAATACCCACCTACCCCATGGCACTCACTCTTAATTTGAATACTCTGGAGCTCAATGAAAGTGGAATCATGCAGTCCAGTCAGGCTTTCAATATTCTCAGGTTCCACAGCAATGAATTTAGCAGGTGCAGGTAGGAAATATTGTCAGATCTGCTACATATTTCCTTATAATTATTCCCACAGCATCAAAGTGTGAAAATCATTCATAGCCATTAACATATTAGGGATTACAGGGATTTAGGCATGATTTCACTGACTTGGGGAGATGTGAATAGGATGTGTTAGAGCATCCTTGAATTTGAGTGTCCTTGGATCTTGGAGCCAATTCCCAGTGGGCACTAACTCATTTTGTAAGCTCACTTTCACTTAGCACAGTACCATTGAGTTCTGTCTGTGGTGTACCTTGTGTAAGGATTTTCTCTTTAAGGCTGAATAAATTATGCTTCATTGTATATATGTGTATATGTATGCACACAAGTATGCTTGTGTGTATACGTATCTACTCATCCATTGATGATCTGTTTGATTGCTTCCACCTCTTGTCTGTTGTGAATAATGCTACTTTACTCATGGATGTGTCAATCTCATTGAGATCTTGCTTTCAGTGCTTTTAAATATACATCCAGAAATGGTTTCTGGATCATATAGTAATTTTAATTATTTGATCACTTTCCATACTATTTTTCCTAACAGCTGCATCATTTTGGTTCCCCCAGTAGTGCACTTTAAAAAATAGTAGTTTTTAAAAAAATTAGCTTTCCTAGTGGATGTGAGGTGATAATCTAATGTGTTTTATTTTTTTCTGAATTAGTACGTGTGTTGAACTTTTGTTTTTAATTTATTGTGTTTCATTTTTTTTCTGAATTTTTTTCTGTGTTGAACTCTTTTTTTCACATTTGTTGACCATTTGTCTACTTGCTTTGGGAGAAACGCCTTTGCTCAGGTTTTGTTTCACCTTTAATGTTTTTGTTATTAATTATAGGAATTCTTTTATATCCGAATATTAGCTCCTGTCA